TTATATTGCACCAAAGAAAGCTTAACAAGTATCTTTCAAACACATGAAAAAATTACCTAAAGGAGTTTTACCCTGAGTGTTTCCCTTCTATTTAGCTAACAGTCCCTATATTACTGGCAATTAAGTATCAGAGGTAATATGAGAGGCATTGATAAAACTGCTATGGAAGCAGAATGAATAAGGTTCGAATCCCCATCCTATCATTGGATGATACAGGACTGTTTACCTTCTTCAGTCTTTCCTCATATGTAAAAGAGAAATAATACTGTATGATTTGCAAGGATGTTCTGATGATAGCCATGAAATACCAATCATGTCTGACACGTTTGCTCAAGAAGCAAAGCTATTTTATCATTACTGAACATAAATATTGATAGATGAGCCCACCCTTATAACTCCTGTCTTTTATTGGCATACTTTCTCTTCCATCCTCTCTTTTGTTATTTTGCACACAAAATTTATAGTGGTTTTTGACAGGTCTCTTTAAACAGTTGACATAGATCAGATTATTGAAACACCTATTTGTTAGAAATTAATAATAATATATCAGCTACAACCACAAAAGAAAACAACCTTAAATGGTCAACAGGAAGAGAATTGTTAAGAAAATTAATTACATCTATTAATGGAATCAATAGAATATTACTTAAAGATAAATGAAGAATCTATACTGTAACTTTGAAAATATGTATGGTATCATCTTAAAAGAACAGAGCAACAAGTGCCACTTCCTGTCTTGGCAAAGAAACTTGTTGCTCTCAATCTCCCTGCTAAACAAACAAACAAACAAACAAACAAAGAAACAAAAAATGAAAAATAAAACAAGGAAAGCTGGACAAAAATACAGAACATGCCCATTTGAAAGTCAGGGTGACCTATGAAGACAGCCAGGACATGAAGAATGGATTAGTTTCCTATTGTCGCTGTAACAAATCACCACATATTCAGTGCCTTTATAACAATATACATTTCTTATCCTATAATTTTGGAGGTTAGAAGTCTGAAATGGTCTTACTGGACTAAAATCAAGATGTTAGAATTTCTTCTGAAGGTTTTAGAAGATAATCTGTTGCCTTGCCTTTTTTTAGCTTCTAGAGGCTACCTGCATTCCTTGGCTCATGGCTGCTTTTGCTATTTTCAAGGCCAGCAGTGTAGCATCTTCAAATGTCTGACTCATCAGCCTCCCACATCCACTCATTTCCTTTTAAGTAAGCTCTACCCCTGATGTGGGGCTCAAGCTCATGACCCCAAGATAAAGAGTCGCATGCTCTACCGACTAAGCCAGCCAGGTGCCTCCCCCCTCATTCACTTATAAGGACCTTTGTAATGACACTGAATAATCCAGAAAAATTTCCCCATCTCTGGGTCAGAGGATCAGCAACCTTATTTCCATGTGTAGTTTTAATTCTTTCTTCTGTAAAACATAACATATTCACAGGTTCCAGAGATGAGGAGAAGGGCTTCTTTGGGGAACCACTATTCTGCTTAGCACAAGGAGCTACGGTTACAAAGCGAAGGAGAGGGCAACAAGATGACTCTGATATTCTGTGGTTCTTTCCCCATCAAAGCAATAGTTGATTCAGGGACCAAGAGGCTACAAAATCTTTATTAACGTGATAGTGAAAAAGCTGGAAACCTGAACAGAGCTGCGGGGAGACAAAAATTGGTGTTCATGGCCTGCCTAAGAGTAGAGGCCCTAGTTAACACTACAAATGTCAATTTAGGACCATGGAAATAGACCAGCTAAAATACAGATTTAAATATAATCAATTCCAGACTTGATCCAAGTGCTTGACCCCTATTTAACTGCTTGACAAAGCAAAGTAAAATCTCTTTAAAAGAGAGTATCATCAGCCAAAAGCTCAAATTATCTCTACAGTTTTACCAGCATAATGTCTGACATTCCATTGAAAACTTGAGGCATACCAGAGAAAAGGATCAAGTTACCATAAAAAAAAAAAAAAACACACACAATAGAATCAGGCTAAAGGGTAATACAAATCTAAGAGTTATCAGCAATGGATATCAAAGTAAATGTGATTAATATGTTTGAGAAACAGCATGATGAGGAATAGATAATTATCTAAAAGTTAAGATCTATATAAAAGAAAAAAGACTGAAATTCCAGAATGACAAAAAATAATTACTGCAGTTAAAAAAAATAATGGGCTAAACAACATATTTGGAATAGTAGTAGGGGAGAAGAGAAAACTCAAAGAGAAAAAACAAAATATCAGACTGAAGAATGGAAAGAATAAAGAACAGAAATAAAGCTATATGGGATGAAATGAAAAAGTCTAACATTTGCATAATTAGGTCCTAGATTGAGAGGAAAGAGAGAACAGAGCACAAGCAGTTTTTGAAGGGATAATGATTGAGAATTTTCCAAATATGACAAAAGACATCAAGTCTTAGTTTCAAAAAGCTTAAGAGAGCACCTGGTGGCTCAATGGTTGAGTGTCTGCCTTTGGCTCAGGTCGTGATCTTGGGGTCCTGGGACTCAGTCCCACATCGGGTCCCTCGCAAGGAGCCTGCTTCTCCCTCTGCCTGTGTCTCTGCCTCTCTGTGTGTCTCTCATGAATAAATAAATAAAATACTTAAAAGAAAAAGCTTAAGAAACCCAAGAATAGTATACATATGTATTTAAAATCATAGCTATGTACACATAGTCAAATCTTCTGAAAACCAAAAATTGAGAAAATCTTAACAGTAGTCAGGTGGGGAAAAAAATCACCTTCAAAGGAACAGCGGTAAAAAGGACAGCTCACCTCTGAAGTGATGCAAGTTAGTGAACAACAGAATAATATCTTTTATGTGCTGAAAGACCATAACTGCCTAGCTAAACTTCAATTCCATGAAAAATGGAGTTCTCAATTAAAGGCAACACAAAGACATTTCAGACAAACAAAAACAGAAACTGTTGCCCGCACAACTTTACTAAAGTAAAAAATAAAGGGATTTTTTTTTAAGCGAAAAAAAAATAATTTCAGTCATAAGCATGGAAATGGGAAAGAGGCTTAAGGGGGACTGAATGGATCAATTTATGGGTAAGTCACAGTGACACTGGCTGTGTAACATGATGCAAGTAATGTTTTGTGGTGTTCAAACTGTATGTGGAATTTTTTGTTTTTAATGATAACACAAAAACCAGGAGACTTGATAAGGAAGATCTAAGGTTCTTGCATTTATCTGGAAAGTGGTAATATTCTAAATTATGTAATTCTAATTAAATAAGTCCAGATATATATTTTATATTACCCTTATATTTTACCCTTGAGTACAATCATTAAACATTAAAAAGTGTATAGCCTGGGGCACCTGGGTGGCTCAGTGGTTGAGTGTCTGTCTTTGGCTCATGTCATGAACCCAGGGTCCGGGGATTGAGTCCCACATCAGGCTCCCTGCAGGGAGCCTGCTCCTCCCTCTGCTTATGTCTCTGTGTCTCTCTTTGTCTCTTTCATGAGTAAATAAATAAAATCCTTAAAAAATCAAATAAAAATCAAATTAAAAATATCTGAATTCTTATATTACTTGTGTTACTTAAAAACAGACAAATAATACCAAAAATGAAGTCCAGAATATCTTCTGCAAATGGAGAGCCTCCACTTGTCCAAGAATTCCAATGTTTTGGAATCAATCTTCAGAGTTAACCAATTATTGTGATTCCCAAGTCAATACCCAACCCAAGACTGCTTGGGCTCCAGTTTACAGAAGCACACAGGGCAGACAAGCACGCTCATCGCCTTCTCTTCAGATCTCTCTGCAGGTCAACAGACACTCCTCTCTCCGTCCTTCGTCAGCCTCACTTACAGACCTCACACGCATCTTGCCAGAACGGTTTCTGTTCTGACTCATTTAGTTTGCTGTGGCACCAGTTTTTAATTCTTTGGTATAGTTTATCTCCATTTAGAAACTATAATGTTATAAGTTTTCCAACATAGAGTTTCCCTTTACTTGATCCCAGAAATACATCTTTCAACTGTTTCCTTTGTCCAAGGTAGTTAACGTTGCATGATATTTAAATTTCGTACATGTTGTTAAATGGTGAGAATGATGTGTGGGGAGGGGGAACAGAAGGGGAGCTTTATACGTTAGACTTACCCATACTTCCGGCTCCATCTATCATTCCTTCTAACAGAAATGAGTAATGCATTTCATAACTCAGTGACCCTTATGAACATTTTTGTGAGCTCTCATTTACTTTCCCAAAGCAAAGTACTTTTAAGGTTGTATGCTTCTGAAATTAATTTTTATTTGGAGCATGGATTTGCCTAATGAAAAGCTCGAGCGTTTGGAAAGCTGTAATTCCAAATACCTAATACAGAACGGAGGTTTCAATGTTGCCTCAAATAAAAAATTGCAGGAAAAAAAATCAGGTCCAAAAGATTTAAATTTCTCCTCTTGACTAAGCAAAAGTATTCTTAATCTCTCCAAAAGCTTTCTGGAGGTAAACGGTGGAATCCTCAAGTAGTCACCAATGAAGCCCTGCCGACCCTTGAGGAGCTGAAGCCTATAAACTGGGAGGCACAGTGGACAGGCTTGGCCAGAGCAAGGTCTGACTCCTAAAGTGAAGGTCACACTAGGGGCATCAGATGGATAGATTCCGTCCTGGGGCTTCGTGTGTGGGACCCAAATAAGAGCACAGATTTGCCAGAAGAGATTACATTGAAGCTAACTTACATCATGTGTTCAAGCTCCCTTCTGTTCCCCAACGGACAAATTCTCTCATTAATGATTTGCCTTTTTGGGCTGAGTATTATCTTTTTGATTGTCATCTTGTCTCTTGAACAATATCTCACCTTTCATCTTGTTTTGCGTTATGCACCATGTACGTTAAGGAACTCAGACACTGCTCTGTGGAAAGGAGGGCTACGGAAGACACGCTTGGGCTGCTGTGTGACTCTGCATGGGGCGAGCCAGGCCTTACTGGGATGCAGGCTTTAGTTTCGACCCCACCATCCCCTTCCCCACAACCTACAGGTCCCAAAGTATCTCCGTACCTGACAGAACTGACCCACTTGCCGCACGTAACCAGCCACTTCGGAATCCGATTTAAAGATCTTCCAAACTTTTCTTTCCGCCTGCTTATATTTCTGGGACCCCTTCCACTTCATGGCCATCAGAGAGCGCTCTGTCAGGGAAGCTGCCACAATGATGTCTAGTTGGCCATTGTAGATCAGAACCTGAAATGAAATCAAGTTGTGGGCAAACGTGGGACTCAACAGGTAAAGCCAGCATACCTATCTAGGTATAGATAGTATGTGCACGAGAGGCAAGGTCATGTGAGGTTTTCTGATAGTGTGCTCAGAGAGGCCAGCCCAGTAGGAGGGTGGGGTCATTGTCCTCCAGTTGGCCACAACACACCAACAACCTGAAATAAATGCCAGCCTTGACTCAGCCATTGCAATTCTTTTTTTTTTTTAAGATTTTATTTATGTATTCATGAGAGACAAAGAGAGAGAGAGAGAGAGAGAGAGAGAGAGAGAGGCAGAGACACAGGCAGAGGGAGAAGCAGGCTCCACGCAGGGAGCCTGACGTGGGACTCGATCCCAGGTCTCCAGGATCAGGCCCTGGGCTGAAGGCAGCACTAAACTGCTGAGCCACTGGGGCTGCCCCAGCCATTGCTATTCTTCCAAAAGTTCGAACCTTCACAGGAATCTGCACAAAGGTTTCTCTCAGTTACAAAAGCATTTGTGCTGAGTTACCCAGTGATATCACTTAGATGTACAGCTGTGTACAAGAAGAGGACTGTGGTTACATTTCCGTGGAACTGAGGAACACTACACCATTGGATTTGCACGAAGACTGCATTTCATTAACTTGGCTTTCAGGCTGGTGAGCTGGGCATTCTCTCAGGAGCTGCTAATCCACGCTCTCTCCCTCTGACACTGATTTTACAGTGGCGACCATAATTTTTTGAGGCAGATGGATAGAAGCAGGTGCCTCAGATTTGTGACTTGTTGGAGGCAACTATGTTTGCCATGCCACTTCTATGGCCTCCTTTTCTTAGACATGATAGCCACTTGTCAACAATGAGGAATGCCTTTTCTTCCTAGGATATTATATATATATATACATTTTTTTTGCTAAGTTAGTAGATCTTATAGCAGAAACAACTCTGAAACAATTCCTGTCTTTTCTCCAAAAACAATATTCAACTGGCTTGAAAAGAATTCAGATAATACCTAGTGTTGATGAAGTGTAAAATGGCACTACTCTTCAGGAAAACAGTGATCCATTTTCAACAAAAGGATTTGAAAATGCTGAGACTCTCTGTCCCAGTAACCCCAGTTTGTGGAAAAAAAATCTATGAAAATAATCCAAAGAAATAAAAAATATATATACATATATAAAAGCCATATTTATAACCATATTCACACATATATATTCATTTTCATACATATATATATATATATATATATATATATATATTCATTGAGTCTTATAATGAAAAACTGGAACACAGTCTAAAAGTTCCATAATTAGTGACTGGGTTAAATAAACTAGGATACAGAAATTCTATGGAATAGTGCAAAACCATTTAAAATATTTCATTGAACCATGCTGCAATGTGGAATATACTTATCACATACTGTTAAGTATGAAAGCTGAAAATCAAATATACACATACACAACTATGAATATATAAAATAGGCTTCCATATTTACAGATATGGAATGCAACTTTTAAAAAATGAATACAGTGGTTAATTAAGGTGGTACAAAATCTGAGTAATTTTCTCCTTTGTTTTCCACTCTTCTTAGGTTATTTTTATGTAACTAAACTAACACGATATTAATTCTCAGAAGATATTGTCCCTCAATCCCTGGCAAAGAATTTTTCCTCAACTCCAATGCTACCTTTGATCTACTTGGAAGTTCTGGTTTTGCTCAAGTGAAGACCTTTGGTTGAATCCTCAAATTGGATATAAAATGTTTTACTGCATATGTTTTCATCTCTGTCTTCCTGGTGTAGGCTTCTTAAAAGGCTTGCCCATAATTAAATAGCCCCGGACTTTTACACACTCCAAATCCTCGAGCAGCAGTGGGCCAGGATTCAGCCTAAGATGAAAGAGTCCTGGGCCTCTGCGGCTGGAGCACCGGGTCTTTTATGTTACCGGGTCACCATCACCACCTCCGCTCTCCTTAAGCAAAAACTCAAAGGAAAAGCTCTTCATAGATTTAAAGCCTCTTTAAAAAACTTAACTCAACTATAGCAATGAAAATTTGCATTGTTTATACAAAGAAATTGCCTCAAAGACCTTGGGTACGTATGGCCCATGCAAAACTCCTACAGCTGTTTTGCCAACAGTATGGAAACAATTACACATGATCTGTACCAGTGAACACGGCTTAAATACTCCACCATTCTAGGAAGGCCTGATTAACGAAGATAATCATCTACAAAGTAATTCCTCTGCTAGAATTCCATGAAAAGATGTTGATTAACTACCAAATACACAAGTGCATCAGGCTGTTTTCCACTCCGTGGCCACTAAATGAAGCTTGCATCTTTCTGTGTGTCTCTTGGAGCTATCTTCCTATCATCAGTATATTTTGAAATTAATTTGAATTTTTTTTATCTTTCAGAGATGCAAATCCACAGGTTACAGCCAAAACAGGCTTATTTGTACAGCATTAGAATACACGTTTGTTGGACTGAATTGAAATGAAATCCATTCCTGAGCTGTGCCCCTTGTTATTCAAGACTCATCACAAACAAGAGCACTAACTCTCTGGAACAAGACAGTGGAGGGCCGAACTGCATAATTTTGTGCATGTGATGTGGAGAAGGCCTACTTTGGGGGGCAAATGGAAATCTTCTTAAAGCAAGGAAAACATTTTTAACTTCTAAAGGGCATATAAGTCAAATGCAAAAAAAAAAAAAAAAGGAAAGATCAGATTAATGATCAAGTGAAGTGATTTCAAAGCTGGCATTTAAGGCTGCCAGCATTAAATATAAGAATTCCAGAGCTTTTATTTTTATCTAAATGTCACATTTACTCTCATCAGCCCTGACAGGAATATCTCAGTAGCCTTTAGGGCTGGGTGAGTGGGAGAGAGATCTCAGGATCCAGTGACAGTGAGCCAAGAAGCCAGGTGGGTGGAGGGTAGGAGTGGGTGGTCCTGATGCCTAAGGGCACATGCTACTCAGCTACCTCTGTCCTGGTAGTCAGAGGAGTTCCGGGACAAAGCCTAAGCCCTGATGAGCTGGCCAATTATGAAGGATCTGGATACATTTGCTCCATTTCTTCCTGGTAGGGTGACCAGCTGCCCTGGTCAGCTTTGGCCTGAGGAGTTTCCCAGGAGGCAGGGCTCTCAGGCTAACCCTGTGACAGTCTGGGGCAAACCTCTCCCTGAGGCTTGCTAGTATTTTAGGCAACAAGATCTAAAGACAGAGAGATGGAGACCGACATGAATGCAGCTTTTAGCTACCCTTCTCTTCTGAGCAGAGACTAAATCACACAAGGCACAACGGACCGACTGGCCAGATGGAGTTGGTTTGCAGTGACAACACCAGGCCACCCCCTGAAACACCCAGTGTCCTCACTTTCTTTCCTGGACAGCTGTGAAGCCTTAATTAAAGAGTAAAGGAGAATTTTCTTTTCTTTTACTACTTAGAGATCTGATCAGTTAGCTTGGTGAAATGGAAGGTTTTGCAAAACATGGAAAAATAACTTCTTATTAAAAAGCAGTGAAGACCAGGATTCCACTGCTTGTACTCTATAGTTACAACATTTTCTTTTTTTTTTAAAGATTTTATTTATTTATTCATGAGAAACACACACACACACACACACACACACAGAGAGAGAGAGAGAGAGAGGCAGAGACACAGGCAGAGGGAGAAGCAGGCTCTATGCAGGGAGCCCGACGTGGGAGTCAATCCCAGGTCCCCAGGAGCAGGCCCTGGGTTGAAGGCGGCGCTAAACCACTGAGCCACCCGGGCTGCCCTAGTTACAACATTTTCAATAAAGGTGCTTCCAACTTGGGAAAAGAATACATCAAAACGCTAACAGTTAAGATAACTAAAATATGGGTGATTTGTTTTGAGTTGACTATTTGCTAGGGTTGTTTGTGTGTGTTGGGGGGTTAAATATAATTAGGATGTTTTTATAATGAAACGATAATAAGACAATAACACTAAGAGGTTGGGAATCTTGGCTGGCAAATGGTGGTCTTTACTGAGGAATAAACTCAAATATTATCAGTGCTCAATTTTCATGACAAGATAAATAGCCTAACTAGTTTGTTTGTTGATGACCTTAAAAATCCATCCTAGAATTCAAGCATTTATAAGAAAGATTGGATTACAAGCATCTTTTTTTTGTTTGTTTGTTTGTTTGGTCCAAAGGCAGAGATGAGAAAAGCATTTTTGCTATTTGCCTTCCGAAGTGCTTTCTTGTACATATGGCTTTATTCTCATACGCTTCATGAGGTCAAGATGGCAGGAATTACAACGTCTGCCTCTACTTAACTGTTAAGGAAACTGTGACACAAGAGGTGCCAGGATATGTCCGAGATCCCAGACTTCCAAACTCCTACCTAGAACTCCTTAAGAAAAGAGCGAAATTCCTTCAAACCAACAAGCATTTACTGACTGCCCACAGCTAAATGTTTAGTGCTACTGGAAGCTTCTGGGAATGGAGAGCTGGTTGAGTGTGAGACACAGTTCACACCTCCAGTTCAGAAACAACCTTGGTCTGTTAGTCCAACTCTGATGACAGCTCTCAGTCATTTCTCACTTTGGCTCTAAGCACAAGGATGTGTACAAGGCCATTATTCAGCTGGTAACAGATGCCTCACTTCTCTTGTAGGGAGTGCCACTGATTAAGCAGTTGAGGCAGAGCATCAGCTTCCTGAGAACAGGGCTCTCCTAGCACTTTCCTGCCTGCAGCCTTGCACAGGACCTGGCATCCCAGGAAAAGTATTGACACTTACTGGGTAAAGTCTATCGTACTCTCTAGAAGTTTTCTATAAGGCTGTATGCTGATCATCTATTGCTTTGGGCTGCCTACATCCACTCTCCCTTCCTTTGATAACAGGACTTGTGCACCTGCAATGGATCCAGCCCTAGTGGAGGCTGTCAATCACAGCATCCTGCCTCCTCTGTACAAGGGATGAGCGTGTGACCTAAGCTACAGCACTCAAATGCTCTTTTCATAAATTTGAATTGTGGGCAC